GGCGCGGGACATCTCACGGGTACGAGAATTGTCGAAGTAAGCCGGTAGGTGTGCTGTCGATGGTGAAGGGGGGCAAGGGCTTCATGCAAGAGCTCGGAGAGACCGCATTGACGTGTCAGCCCGGAGAACCAGCCCAGTTGGCCCCAATGGTACCTGCTGCAAAGGGTTAGTAGTCGACGTTTGGCGTGTTGTGGTTGATTCGTAGTAAATCGAAACATCCAACTTCAAATTGCCGGTGGCTGGGCGCGGGTCACGTGGCTAGGTTGTTGTTCTGGTTGCCCCGGGCAATCATTTCCCCCCATCAACAATGATCATTAGACTCCCCACTCGATGATGTCGAGGTAACTGGAAGTCCCTCCTTGCTTGCACTGACATGGTCCATTCCTTTTGGCAAGTCATCTCGTCGCTTGTATTTTGGCAGACTTTGCATCTTCTGCAGGCAACCGTGCTTTCGCTTCGACGCGACGTTGACCCCCGGGGATTTTTAGCGCAAATCAGCAACTACGGTTAATGCTTCTGCTCCAATGGTAGCCTTTCCGTGTACTGATGTGCCACGGTACTTAACTTCCTTTCGTGGGTTGAATAGTAGTTGGTGTAAGCACTTAATGTTGATTTATTAATCAATTAGTTAAGTTGATCTTATCCTACTTTGATATACTGCTACATAGTACTCCTGTCTATTGTTGCGGTGGAGTTCGGTTACTGCTAGAGCAACGATACTAAGTATATATATATCCGAATGGAACATCCCCTGTCAACTCCCTGGTCTGATTTAGCAACATCATGCTACTACGAACAACTACCACTAATTAGTAGTATGAAGCGTGTAATGAGTCACTGGTAATACTAAGCACATCATGCTGACACAATTGAAGTTAATTAGTACTATCGTCGTGGTAGTGATAAACTTCTGGCAGCAGTACTACAAGCAGTACTATTCAATTGAGTAGCAACCCACAAATACTACGATAAACATCATGATAACACAGCCCTAGAAAGTTCCTGGCTCTGAACCTCGAATCAAACGGCGACACGACTGCAAACGGAATACAACGCACAGACAGTAACTACTAAGGACCGATAACTAATTATACCGTATACTTAATGAATTTCTCATGATAAAAGTACGAGATCGGATGGAATGGCATGTCAAGGCACGATATTCGAACAAGTTTGATTCTATGGCTAATAGTCAAATCTACAGTGGAATGTGCACACCAGACGACGAAAGAACCGACTGCAGAGAGGTCCCCCTACTTCTGGCTCGTAGTTGCCTCCTGTCTTCTCAACAATGGATCACGCCAACTAATCACGGTTTACACGAGCTATGATCCCTAGTAGCCAGCTGTCCCATTTGCGACCTTTGTAGGTTGAGGGCTTGATACAGGTTTGCTGGAACTGAGGCGGTTTCGTGAACAGGGAATTTGCTTGCCAAACCCCCTGTTCCTTACTCCGAGAATAACCTTTGGATAGCAGATGTGTGCGTCGAAGGCATACATCGATTGCCATTGCATGTGACAACTTTTGCCAGTGCAAGTATCTGCTGTGGTTTGTTCTTTATGACAGACCCATTAAAGTTCAGGTATATACTTCATCGACTTGTCAGCACCCTGATAAGCCTGGAAACTGATAGTGCGAAAAGTTGCCTATTGCATGAAGTCTGTCCTCTCGATCCAGTCTTTGAGCCAGAACTAATTTTGCGCGTGTATCGTGAGGCATTTTCTTGCCGATACGAGGAATCCAAGAGCGTAATTGTGCTTAAATGAGCATGCTAAACTGTAATCCATGACTCGTAAGTTCAGTGGCGTAGTTTCGGTCTCAGAAATTACAGATCGATGAACTGGCGGAGAAAAGGAGGAGTCCTATGATATGGATCAGCTCTGGCAAAAATAGAACGTGGAATAAGCTCGCTGGGGCAAAGTTCCCAATACAGGAAACTAGTCCAACCTTGAAACATGGAGCATGAACGATATTCCCGATTGTCAAAAGTGCTTTTGGCCTCAGGTTTGACGTGACCTGCCACAAGCACCTGACATCACCTGACGGTCTGCAGCTTCCTAAAGAGGTATGCGCGGCCGAGTGTGCCTTCAGTCATTGTCATCGTCATCATCGTCGTCGTCGTCCTTCGTTGTCGTCGTACTTACTCCCTAGGGAGACTGGGAGTTTCAGGAGAAGAGTTCCTCCATGGGTGTGACCGAAGTTCGCCGCCCCCTGCAGTGACTGATCGGATTGCCTCCGGTTCCTTCCCCTCAGAGTGACTTGGCAGCTGCTCCGCGGTCATTGTTCCGGCGGCAGCATATGCTAATTGCTATTCGCTCAATTTTAGGTGCAGGGTATGGTAGTACCTGGCTATTTGCGGCGGTCAATCAATATTAATCAAATTAGGTAAACTTCCGAGGTTAGTCGACTCAAAACCCGGTCAACTTTAACTAGAAGTCCTAACTGGGTCGGTCTTTTAGAGTTTCCACAGGAACGAACAACGATCGAACCCATCTGCAAGTGATGAAACCACGAAGACATCATGCAGATGCCACTGTTCCAGAGTCAAACAAACCTGTGTCCACAACTAACCCAGTGTCCACTTCCACTGCCTTGATTCCATCGTCTGGAGGGGAAGCCGTCGGCCCAGGACTGGCCTTACTAGTAGTAGTGTTCGGTTAAAGCGGGCAGCCGGCAGCTCAGGCCATTGGGATTTGGGGGAAAAGAGGGGGGTGGAGCCTCAGGAACCAAAGGTACGAGACCTTCGGGTCAGGAACGCCTGTTCGGGCAACGATTGCCCTTTCCAAAAGGCTTTCTTGCCATTACGATTGCCAGGTCGACTAGCCAGGGATCAATATTGGTATTGAAGAGCAGTCTAGATTGCTGCACGAGAAAGTCAACCGACATTTTAGGGCAGACTGTGTTGTGCAGCTTGTCGTTTGCTTGTGGTGGATGATGTTCTCTTGGCTTCTCTGCTTCTCAGGCTGAGGGCGCTTTACCGTAAGTATTCTTGCCTGCCGCGCTAAGGCAGTACCTACTGCATCCGCAGCTTCCTGTCCCTGACTAAAAAGCGATGCTAATAATGCACTAATTTAGCGTGCAAAGGCTGCATCCACCAGACCACATTCGGTTGTGCGCAGCACAGGAAAGTTGTGCTCCTGTTCTGCTTGTTGTTGTCCCCTGCACACTTCAGTCCACGAGTAGTCTCCCGCTACTTTTTTAGGTTAGTGACCCCCAGCTGGCTTGTTTGAAGTGAGAGTTTTTCTTCCTCCTTGGGGGAAATTAATTTTCTATATTTGGAGTGGGTAGATAGAGCATGACACTGTCGAGCACTCGCCCGGATTCTCAATTGATGTTTTGATTTTACTACCAGTCCTTCATAACTGTAGTGCGCAGATAAGATCTGTGCTCCTTTCAATTATTGATTGCACTATCTACTTTGTATTGTGGAATGGATTTCTTGTCCGGGGGAAGAGTGGGCGGCCCCCTCTCTATTAGTTTTCAGAGTTCACTTGTCTCTTGCATTTGTCATTGCTTTTTCCTTTGTCTTTTGAAGCCTAACGTTCCGGAACTGGATTTATGCACCGCCCCGGAAATTAGTTGATCAGTCAACGCACATATGTCACAAAAATCTTAACGCCTTTTTTTTGTTGCTTTTCCTAGTTTTTGTTCCCTTTGCCTTCCCCTCCTCTGCCCACTATACCTGTCTTTTTCTCTCCTAACCACACCTGGATAGCGTCGGTTAGGCTCCGTACTCCGTATTTGACTATTTTTCTCTCTTAGTTGTTTTATCACATTTTGAAAGGGGATCTAAGCAACTCTAAAGTTTCACATTGACTTCATCCATGGGAGAAGGTGGAACCGGGCTCACAATTCAGGGACAAAACACCGGCCGTGTTGATCGCCCATGGGTCGGCCTCGACGGCTGGCCGGCACTGGGATTATCCTCTTGTTTACCTGATGAGGGTCTGCGCAGTCTGACTGCCATTGGCCCGTCATCCGATCACCACAGCCAACATCACCCCCCCGACTTGCTCTTCTGGTTGGCATTCGGTCGCTGACCACCCCACGGGTGACCCGACGATGATGTTGATGATAATGATGTTGCTCATGCTGTGCTGCCGATGCCCACTGTACTGTACCTTCCCGCAGCAGTGTTGCACACCCAGACGCTCACACCGAAGCATCCATGTTTTTTCTTCTTACTTGCTTTTTTCTTTCCCACCGTGGATGCTAGCATGAGCGTCTTCAAATCAGAAGCATGGTTGATTGATACTAGTGTACTCACTCACTTACTCCCTGACAACGGAGCCTCTCACCAGTGCTGAATTGAGAGCCCCAATTGGTGGCGGCCTTGGTCAGTGGCTCACCGGCCTAGGCTCCTCCCCCTGCTTACAGCGTCCGTTGCTTGACAAAATAATACTACTATGGACGGAAAAGGTCAGAGGTGACCCGCAAAAAGCTCGGAACTAATACCTTCTCAGTCCAGGATACCCCGTTCCCCTAAATAGTATTCTCGTTCTGCTTAGTTTGTTTCGGATGAGCCCACATACAACGGTAGTCCGCTCTGGTTTGCTTCCTAGTTTCCACTGGCACCCGGCGCATCCACTTGGCTAGCTTGGCCTCGAAGATCCGGGTCCCTCGATCACAGAGGACCCAACATGCTCTCAGCCGGGTGTGCAGCTCCATTCGTGGTTCCAGACTTGGGGGAGAACTCCATCGCCCGATCCCGCTGGCACGGGAGGAAATCCCTCTCAGGGGTATATAAACCTCCAGGCTGATCACCTCGTTCGATGAACATCAAGCCCTTCGTCAGTCACTTTGTTTTGTCTTGCTTTTTGGGTTCTGTCTTTCCTTACCCGACCCTCATTTTCACCAGTCTGTCGTTAACCAATTAGGCTGCCTCGAGCCAGCCGTTCTTCCATTTTCATACTCTTTTGGATTCTTTTGACAGGTTCAATTCAGACACTCGCTGACGTCTTACTCACTCTTTGTTATACATTCTTTGCCCTCTCGGCACAATGCGTTCCGACAAGCTTCTCGTGCTCGCCGGTCTGGCGAGCTATGCTCTCGCTCTCCCCACGAAGGACTTGGACCCCCGTACCTTCGGCCTCGTCGCCGAGATCCTCACTGACCTTGGTGAGGACCTGACCGGTTTCATCGAGGCCCTCCTTGGCGGCGGTGTCCAGAGCTCCGCAAGCCTCCTCACTGGTATCAGCGCTCAGGCAGCTGCTGTCCTTGAAGGTGGTGCCCTGGGTTGCACTGCTGGCAAGATCGAGGCCTCCGCTCGTGCGGAGCTGGCTGCGTGGATCCGGGCTCATGCCAGCTTCGATGCCTCCCTCAAGTCGTCTCTGTTGGCCTGGTGTGAGGGTGAGGACTCTGCCACCTTGTCCGTCGATGTCCGTGCTGGTCTCGCTCTGTTCATTCCCACCTGCGCCGAGGTCGCTGCCAAGGGCGACATTTACGTGACTGTCGACGGTATCTTCTCCGTTTCCGAACTCGAGGCCGCTGTTGTCCTCAGCTCTTCTTTCCAGTCTACTCTGTCTACTTTCCTGTCCGGATCCGTTGGTGTCGAATTGGATGCCGACATCAAGGCTGGTCTTTCCCTCTGTGCTGGTGGTGGTGTCGTCGCCGACCTTGCTTCGGACATCGAGGCCTCCCTGAAGGTCTGGCTTTCCGGCTCTGAGTGCTCTCTGAGTGCCTCCCTCAAGGCTGCTGTCCTTGCTTGGTTGGAGGGCAAGGCTAGTGTGTCCGGCGTTGTTACCATCGGCACTGTGCCCACTGCTGGTCTCACCACTGTCTCCGTCGGTGCCGCCATTAACGCCCTTGTCGAAACCTCCGGTGCCCTCACCGCTAGCGCCCAGGCCTACCTCTCTGCCTTCCTCAAGTCCTCCCTCGCCGCCGACATTGAGGCCGATGTTAAGGTCGTTCTGGAGGCCTGTATCTCGGGCAAGCTTGCCACTTCCGTCAGCGCCGATGCCCGTGCTGCCCTGGCAGTCTGGCTCTCTGGCGATAGCTGCCAGCTGGGCGTTGAGCTGAAGGCCGTTCTCTACTTCTGGCTTTCCTTTGCCCTGAGCGGCGACGTCACCGTCGACCTGTCCACCGACATCATTACCGAACTCGAGACTTTCATCACCGGTACCATCGACACTCTCATCGGTGTCAACATTAGCGGCGTGCTCTCCCTTCTGCTGTCTGGCGAGAGTCTGGCCTCCCTTTCCCTGGAGTCTCGTGCTGAGCTGTCTGCTGTCATCGGTGGCTGCGCTGGTGTTGATATCAGCTCCTCCATTGAGATCATCGTCATTGAATGGCTTACCGGCTGCAGCATCCCCGGCGGTCCTTCCATCGGCTCCGGCTCCGGCTCCAGCTCCGGATCTTCGTCTAAGCTTATCCCCAGCGCCTCCAGCATTCCCGCCGTCGCTTCAACCCCCGCTGTCAGCGTTCCTGCTGTTCCCACCGTCTCGGTTCCCACTGGCGGTTCTAGCCCCAGCAAGCCTGCTCAGTCCGGTGCCCCTGGTGTCCCCTCCGGTGGTGTTGTTCCCTCCTCTCCCGCTCAGTCCGGTGCTCCCGGATCCCCCAACGGTGTCAGCCCTACCGACACTCCTTCGGTTCCCTCCTCCCCTGCCCAGTCTGGTGCTCCTGGCTCTCCCTCTGGCGGCGTCCCCGCTCCCAGCGGTGGCGTCGTTCCCTCGTCTCCTGCCCAGTCTGGTGCTCCCGGCGCCCCTAGCGGCGGTGTTGTCCCCACTGCCTCTGTTCCGGAAGGCGCCAGTGCCGGTGCCTCCACTACTCCCTGCGACACTATCACCGGCGAGACTGTTGTTCCCGTTGCTACTATGACCGAGGGCGGTTCTGCTCCTAGTGCCCCTGCTCAGTCTGGTGCTCCTAGCGTTACCCCCATCGTCGGTGGTGGTGCTGGCGGCTCTACTGGTGGTTCTACTGGCGGCTCTGGCTCTGGCTCTGGCTCTGGCTCTGGCTCTGGCTCTGGCTCTGGCTCTGGCTCTGGCTCTGGCTCTGGCTCTGGCTCTGGCTCTGGCTC